TATTAATAACGACTATCAAGTTGCTTTAGAAACTGTGTGAAAAAACCTACACAAGGAAGTTTTCGTCCTTGATATAGAACTCTGTATCCCAGGCTTTGCTGTATATGCTGCATATAAAGGCATAATTTGTTTAGTAACTATGGATTTTAAATCATCTAAATTTATATAGCCAGAGTAAAGTGGAAAACAGTCCTTGAAAATGTCTTGGCTTAAAGGGATTATCTTCTTGTATGTTGCTTGTTTTTATTTGATGTTTTTGTGTTAGAGAAAACTTTTTTCACTTGTCATTAGTTCTGTATGTGTTGTAAACTTTTAGTAGTTTATGTTAAGAACTTTTATCTTGAAATTAAAAAGTTACATAACTTTCTGAAAGTGTTAGTTTTGGCTTTTTTACACCTAATCTATTTTTTTCCCTTACTGTGATATGTGATAGAATTATTTTCATTTCTTAGTGAAACACCAATTTTTCCAGTGAAAACTAGCATAAAAGTTAACTTATAAGTATGCATGTCTTTTTCTCAGCTCTTTATTCTATTTCTCTCAATGAAAATTTCTGCTATATATTGCCATGTTTCACATTATTTCAGAAGTAACTCAATTATTCAGTTTTATCTTTTATTTTTCTGGCTGTTTGCTTTATACAGTTCCATAAGACATTGGAGTTGTGACTGACATTGCTTTACATTTATCAATGAATTAGGGCAAAAGTGACTTTAATGTTTAAAATTTTCCCACCTATCTCTCCTTATATTCAGACTTTATTTAGAACCTGACAGATTCTCAGTAAAGGCCCTTATTACAGCAGTTGTAAATGACATTCTCCTGTTTACTTGTTTTTGGCTATGCTGGATATTTTTGACTGCATGGGGTTTTCTCTAGTTGTAGGAAGTGGTGGTTACTCCCTAGTTTCAGTACACAAGCTTTTCATTGCAGTGGCTTCTATTGTTGTAGAGCACAGGCTCTAGGGCATGTAGGTTGGTAGTAGTGGTTCTTAGGCTCCTGGATTACAGGCTCAGTAGCTGTGGCTTACAGGCTTAGTTGCCTCTTGACACGTGGGATCTTCCTGTACCAGGAATTAAACCCATGTCTCCTGCATTGGTGGCAGATTATTTAAGAGTGAGCCACCTAGAAGCCCTGTTAGCTGCATTCTTAAAGAATTTCAATGCCTAGGTTTTTGAATGAAATTTTATGTTTATTGGAATTAACGAGTAGATCTTTTTGTTTAAAAATTCTTTTATTCAAGTGACATTTTATTAAAAATCTTTCTTAGATTATTCAATTTCCTGCATAAGCTGGCCATCATTTAAGGACAAAATTTTGTTATTTAGTCTGTATCCCTGTTTTCTTCCTCCATTCTGAGGAATTAAACTTTCATTTCAGCTCAGTTGCTGAGTCATGCTTGACTCTGTGACCCTATGGACTACAGAATAGCAGGCTTCCCTATCTACCACCCATTCCCAGAGCTTGCTCACACTCGTGTCCATCAAGTCACTGATGCCATCCTACCATCTCATCCTCTGTCATCCTCGTCTCCTCCTGCCCTCAGTCTTTCCCAGCATCAGGGTCTTTTCAAATGAGTCAGCTCTTCGCATCAAATGGCCAAAGTATTGGGAGTTTCAGCTTCAACATCAGTCCTACCAATGAACACCCAGGACTGATCTCCTTTGGGATGGACTGGTTGGATCTCCTTGCAGTCCAAGGGACTCTCAAGAGTCTTCTCCAACACCACAGCTCAAAAGCATCAATTCTTTGGCACTCAGCCTTCTTTATGGTCTTACTCTCACATCCACACATGACTACTGTAAAAGTCTTAAGATGGACCTTTGTCAACAATGTCATCTTTTACATGACAAAATTCATATCATTACCCATCCTACCTCTTCTACGCCTATCTTTAAACACAAAAATCATTCTAGGCCCCCTATACTGTATATATAGTTTAGAAAAAAAACACTGATTTTGAATCTAGGAAGAGAAGACAATATCTTCTTATTTACCACAGAAGTATATAAGAATTGCTGATTCTATACTCCCATGGCTTTTCCAAACTTTTATCCATTGGTGTTAGGAACAAAATAATTGGTGCAACTCCAAATAAAAGTAATAAGTTAAATTTCCTCTTTCAGTCTAGCCTCATTATGTATATCATCTATCATAATAACAAGCACTAACATTTATAAACCCACCACATACCCTCTATATGTAAGATTACCTCATATGCCTTCACCATTAACTTAGTTCCAACAATAATATTCATGTATACAGGCCAAGAGATAATTATCTCAAACTGGCACTGAATCACATTACAAACCCTTAAGCTATCATTCAGGTTTATTTTAGATTATTTCTCAATAATGTGTGCTGGTGGCCCTATTTGTTAGGGTTAGGGTTAGAGTTAGGGTTAGGGTTAGCGTTAGGGTTAGGGTTAGGGTTAGGGTTAGAGTTGAGCATGAAGGCGACACAGCTGCTTGGCTTGCAGGGACCCTGGCAGTGCCACATGTACAGGGACTTGGACTGCCTCCACTGCAGGAATTAAAGCACTGTCAGAATTTTTCTTGGAGCCTATTGTAGCTGGCAATCAGAAGGCCTCCTTGGCTAGTCTTTGTCCATAGACCCATGCCTTCAGGCCGTTCGAGGGCTTTGCTCTCTGGGGTTGTTCTCTGTTGTTAAGCGTGTCAGGCACACATGTGAGGGGCCCACCCAGGCTGGGGTCCTACTCTGTCGTTTGGAGCATCTGGCACCTAAAGATGCCTAGGTGGAGCATTACTCTCTAGTTCAGTGATTCAAGTGCTTGATGGGCCAACCTCTCTTTCACTAAGCTGTGATGCAGGCGTGTGGGGAGAGAGAGGCTGTCCCCATGGCTCCACCCCCTATACATGACTCAGCAGTGTCACCATCCTCCCGTGGCTGCCTGTATTCCTTGCATAGGCTTTTCCCACACGGTCTACTCATTGGAACATCCCATCAATTTGTCTCGAACCAGTAGGCAGCAGACCATGGCCAGGGATTTCTCCACAATCACTATGAACCATCTGCTTCCTGTTGCACCTTCTACAGGACCTGTGACCCTCTCTGGGGTATGAATGGCTGTGGAAAGGACTGTCTCATTCTCATCCCCTCTAGGCTGCCACAGGTCAGCTGTTTCCCTCTCAGCCTTAAGTGTTTCTCCTCTGATGCAGACAGTTGCTCCCATGTGGAGATCGGACAGCTACTTCAGGTCTCCCACTCCCTGAGGTCAAGTCCAATCCTACTAACATGCAAGTCTCCTCCCCTCACCCCCTAGTTATTTCATGCTCCTGATTGTTTGTGGTTCCATCTATTCTTTTCCTCTCTTCAGGCAGTCCTGTCTGCTCTCAACTGAGGTTCTGCAAGCGCTTGTGTCTGAAGGTGTATTCCTGATGGATCCGTGGAGAGAGATGTACTCCCTGTTCCCCTCCACCTCCACCATCTTGTTCTTCTCAACATTTTGACTGTTAGAAATAAGACTGCTCTGAACATTCAGGTTTGTCCTAGGTGACTAAGCAACCAGTGCACTGCAGGAAGACAGCACATCATGGAAACCACAGGAAATACCACTATGTCAACAAAGACTACCCCCCAGGGGTACATCTCAAGCTGGCTTGACCCTGCTAGTCCATTAGGAACAGAGGGGCTCTGGTGAAGCACACAACTCATTCCCCTATCCTCCAGAGCCAACAACCTCAATGAGAGACCTTGGGAACTAGATGTGTAGGCATGATTACACAGTGTTTCCTCCAAGAGGCTGGAAGTTTGTGGTAGCTATTCATGGAAATGAATTCCACCATGGTCTCAACTGTGAGGAGACACCCAAAGGAGCTTCTGCCAGGAAAACAGGATGAGAAGGAATTTGTGAGGCACATGTTGAGAAGACCTGTGTATGTGAGGCTCACACACCACAGGGCAAGCTGCACCCCTTCTTTCCTCGGAATACTAGTCGGTCGCTGGGGTCATTTCCTTCTTGGGGTCATCCAGCACAACCCAAACATGCATTTGTCTGCCTCATCCGCATCACCAGGTTAAACCCAAGCCTGGGTATTGCATCTGGGGAGGTGACAATTAGTCTGCAAATTGACACAAGACAGTGCCAAGTAGAGCCAGAGCAAGTGTATGTTTTCAGTGCATTCTCACAGTTAAGGACAGGGGTTTTAGACTGGAGACTAGGAAACTGAGGAGAGCAAGATGAAGACTGAGAAAAGGAGGTGGGATGGAAAAGCTTTCTCATAAGTGGCCCAGAATTGAATGGCCTTCAAGGTGCATTTCCTCCTACCAGTTGTATGAGGAAAGTGAAGTTATTCTCACTTCCACAGCCAAGTCATCATGGATGGATTTGAGGCAAGAAAATAAAAGTAGATAATAATCTAACAGGAGAGAGACTCAAATGAAACGTGAAACCTGGCTGTGAGGCAAGGTTTGGAGGAGACACACTCTCCCTGCCATGTGGCCCGTCTGTGTTGACGGAGAGAGATGAGGATGGCAGGTGAGTTTGGCGGGCTCTTTTGGATGACGAAAAATGCCTCATTTCTCCCAGCAACTCAACTGAGTTGCTCCCCATCCATCCTCAGAGTTCTCAGGATGGGGCGTTGTGATGCCAAGGCCGGGGGAAGGCTGCCATTGGCTGGGGAACGGACGTCCTGACGTCATAATCATAAGGGTGTGGTCCCCTAAGTATAGGGGTGTTCAGGGGCTCTGGAGAAGACCACTGGGAGTCTTCAAAATGACCAGGGTGGCCTCACTGGCCCTGCCCTGTGGGGGGCGCCATGGCCTCCGAGGAGCTGTATGAGGTTGTAATGATTGTTGACAGGAGGCAAAACAAGAAAGGAAAGATGGAGTATTTGGTTCAGTGGAAAGGCTATGGCAGGGAGGACGCCAGCTGAGAGCCAGAGTAGCACCTGGTGAACTGTGAGGAGTGCATTCACGACTTTAACCGGCACCACACCAAGAAACCGAAGGAGGGCACCTTCCCCTGAGCCAAGCGGGCCATGGAGCAGGGGCCGGAGGACACAGCAGCCCCAGAGGCGGTGGCCGAGAAGCCAATCGGGGCCCTACTGAGCCCGGGGGTGGAGCCAGTGCGGATGGGGAGCCGGCCCGGGATACGCCCGTTGTTGCCGCAGGCGTCGGGCCCCGTGAAGGCCGCCGTGGCCACGGGGCTGGCCGTGAATGGGAATGGCACCTCCCAGTTCATGGCCGGGCTGACGACCAATTGCACGAGCCCCCTGCAGACGTCAGTCATGAGCGTGAAAGCTGTGAAGAGGAAGTTCATCAGGGACAGGGGAGACAAGCCCTTTACCAAGCGGCTGCGCTTCAGCGTGCGACAGAGGGAGAGCGCCTACAGGTACCGGGACATCGTGGTCCGGAAGCAGGACGGCTTCACCCACATCCTGCTGTCCACCAAGTCGTCCGAGAACAACTCGCTGAACCCGGAGGTGATGAAGGAGCTGCAGAGCGCGCTGAGCATGGCTGATGCCGATGACAGCAAGCTGGTGCTGCTCAGCGCCGTGGGTAGCGTCTTCTGCTGCGGCCTGGACTTCCTTTACTTCATCCGCCGCCTGCCAGATGACCGCAAGAGGGAGAGCGCCAGGATGGCCGAGGCCATCAGAAACTTCGTGAACACCTTCATCCAGTTCAAGAAGCCTATTGTCGTAGCTGTGAATGGCCCGGCCATTGGGCTAGGAGCATCCATCCTGCCTCTCTGTGATGTGGTCTGGGCCAATGAAAAGGCATGGTTCCAGACGCCCTATACCACCTTCGGACAGAGTCCAGACGGCTGTTCCACCGTCATGTTCCCCAAGATTATGGGAGGAGCATCTGCCAACGAAATGCTGCTGAGAGGGCGGAAGCTAACAGCACAGGAGGCGTGCGACAAAGGGCTGGTCTCACAGGTGTTCTGGCCTGGGACCTTCAGCCAGGAAGTCATGCTTCGCATCAAGGAGCTCGCCTCTTGCAACCCCGTCGTGCTGGAGGAATCCAAGGCCCTTGTGCGCTTCAACATGAGGCTGGAGCTGGAGCAGGCCAATGAGCGGGAGTGTGAGGTGCTCAAGAAGATATGGGGCTCTGCACAGGGCATGGACTCCATGCTCAAGTATGTGAAGAGGAAGATCGACGAATTCTGACTGTCCAGCCGCCCGACCTCACCAGGGAGCGAGGAGCCGGACCTCACGGCCTGGGCCAGGCTCGTATGGAGCTCCCTCAGTGAAGCAGGACTTGAGACAGACAAGCTGTTTATTGCCAAGGTGTTCTGAAGTAAGGTAACTTTCAAATAAATAATTACAAAACTCCTTTGTTGAAGCGTCATTATTTTACACTTAATACACACAAGTATAAAAGTATAATGGTGAGCTCTGGGCTGCTCCTTGAGGCGCTGATTCTTATTATCTTCGGCTAGGAATATATATACCTATACCTATAAAGTTGTTTTCTAGGTTTCGCTGTTAGAAAATTCTGAAACAATGTGTGTTTTTCTTTCTTTTTTTCCTTCTCAAAGAAAAGAGGTGAGAGCAATCCTCACCATTCCTGCTGCAAATCGAAATATGGATAGATCTGAGATGTGCCTTATCTCTAAGAGGTCCAAAGCCTCAGAGATAGAAAATTCTAAATCGAATGCAAAACTTATCTTTTAGGATGTGTACTTCTGGATAAACACCCACTGATGGACATAGCCCGAAAGTAAAATTTGCTTTGGATTCATGCTGAGATATCAATTGATTGTTCCCTATTGTTCAAAGTCTTGTTTCCTACCCAGTTAACAGGAAGAAACCACTCTTGCTAGAAGAAAGCATGTTTTGCAGTACTAGTGAATCCATGACTAGATTCAGTATGGCATTTTAAGGTATAAGTTACTCTTAGCAGGTTTATAATTAGGTTTTCTGAACCTTTTAAAAAATAACACCATGAGTGCTTCTAGTGACTAAGTGAGCTCTACTACTTTATATAGAATTTGGTTTTCTCTTTGCACATGTGACTGATGCATTACACCAAAAATAAAAAGCATTTGCATGCTTATAATCTGTGCTTTTTAGGTTCACTTAGGATGTATTTTATTGTAAAAGTTAAAATTCTTTTGGCACACTATTAAATGCAGAAACTCCTTTCAAAGAGAACTACCATATTATATTAAAATATCATGTTCTCAGTCTCTGCTTTCACGTCTACTCAGCATACCAAGGAGAGGATGCTATCTGAGAGTGCCTTGAGCACATACATGTCCACATTCCTGCCAGGGAAGGGGATATTTCCAGAAGCCTGTCTCCTGGCAGGCTTCTGAGCTTGCAATCATATGGAATGGATGAAGAGTGAAATAAAATCAAAACCTTATTTTAGTACAGTTCTGAAGTTTCTACTTCGAACCGACCACCTCCAGGCCTCGGGGAGACCTTACAAGGTGTAAAGCTCCCTTTAACTGGATGTGTTGGTGTAGTAGTTTTGCATCTGTATGACCTACTCTTTACGTTCTGTAGTTTGAAATATATATAAAGTGTGCAGTCAGTCAGGTTATTATAGAATAAACATTCGCCTGAGAAAACTAGCTAAATAAAATGAATATTTCTTATCACACTCACACACACACACACACACACACACACACACACACACAGAAGACCAAATGACTAAGGTGGCTGGGAAGCCAAAAGTTTCTGGCACAGATCTGAAACAACCAGCTCCTTATGCAGTATGACAAGATGAATACCTCTTATCAACTAAGGTCCAAAAGAAGTGTCAAGGTGTGTGAACCACTCTGTAGCCAGTGTTCCAAGGTGAATGAAGAGCTGAATCAGAACCAACTGGAAGTGGCCCCAGAGATCATGGAGACCCCTGCCATGCCTGCTGGAGAAATGCATAGCCAGTGACTTCACAGTGTAGCTAGAGACCTCAGAATTCTTCCAGGGTCTCACTGCTGAAAAGTGGCCAACAGTACAATCATTGAATCTTCTACCAATAGCATGCATTGATAATGACAGTTAAATAAAATCAACCTGATGTGAAATTATGTGTGTCTCTGAGCTCTCTGAGCTTTCTGTGTAGGGCAGAAAGGGCCTAGAAAGGATAAGTGTCTGAAGAGGGAGGGCCATGGTTCCTGTGCAGTTGAAGATGGCAATAGAAGGTCCAGTTAGCTTGAAAGCATAGGGCTAAACTGTGTTCAGACTGAGCCCCAGTGATCCATTTCCCATGGGGTAAGAGGAAGAGGATGTGGTGTTTTTGTATGTGAGTGCAGGGCTGGGAAATTAGCTGGGGAGCTGTGTCAAGGACAGTTGGGGGTGTTGCAAAATGCTCTTTGTGAAAAAGCAGCAAAGTAGTTGCCCTAGACAATCTCTAACTCCTGACCCTGAGACAAATAGGAAAGAAAAAAAAGCATTTAAAATTTTATTGTATTACATCTGTTTTTATAAACTAGTAAATTTTATATTGTATTATCTTATTCATGAACAAACTTAAAAAATGAAGCTAGATTTTGCACTGTGTCTGTCTAAACATGTGTTGGTATGTCTTTGTCTATGGGTAATATTGTTTAGGTTAATTTGTAAATGAGCTCTATTGATTTGCTTTAAAGAAGATTAAGTACTTACAAATCAAATAATTCTAAATTAAGCAATAAATTCCATGTTCAAGTGAACTGGGATATATTCACTATTAAATACCTGATATTAATATTTTTCATTCACCTATATAATATAGACATGTCTTAGAGTAATTAACATCAAGTAAAATATTTTTGTACCTAGGTTTAATATAAGTTAAATATTATGTCTGTTAGCACACTGTCAACAAGGCAATTACCTCGAGTGAAAAAATTTCTAAAACATGGAAAAGAGATATGAGGTTTATATAAACTCTATGAAAAATACTTTTTCTTTAGGAATACCTGTCTACAATTGGCTCTCCAGATTGATGTAACTTAAATTTCTAAGGGATGTGCTAAACTAAGTATTTAAAGTCTATTAAATAAATAGGTCCTTTCCAAATAAATTAAATTATTAAAACATTGACGACTAAACACTGAATTCCTTTAACAGAACAACTAAAGAGATGTGGGACTAAAAATAATTAATGCTTGATGCCATCCTAAAGTATTACAACAAAAATAAATAAAACAAAGAAAAAACAAGGGTTTTAGACATTATCACTGGTATTGATGCTTACCAATCTATAAAATGCTAATATAAATGTTAGCTCTTAGTTGTTAAAGGAAAGCAGAAAGTATACTTTCAGTAAATTTAACAAAGATATTAAAAATATTAAAAAGAGTTTTGCATGATCAGGATTTTCTAAAATTCGATTAAAAATAGTTAGATGAATGGATTTTGTTAGGAAGGACATGGCCGAAAAAAAAACTGGGTAGAGCCAATTAGGTCCAAAGGGGGCGGAGATGACTTTCACTAGACCTTGAGCCTTGGTATTTATGTGCATTGTGACATATCAACAAGCTAAAGCATACACCCATCAACATTGACTAAATCGGACAAATGCTTTTAATTGATCCTTATGATAAAACGTCTTAAAAAAAATTCTTTTAAAATTCTCCTGACCTGTAGCTAAGTTTGGGTTGCTTCAGAGGGCCCCTGAGACCTCCCAAGGAGCTATTAAACTATCTGAGTTCATTTGACATGTTCAATTGCAAGGGAATTATTGTTGGAAGTGTGCTACATCATCTCAGGTTGTATTATATGGTTGTCTTTACTTATATAGATATCCTAATAAGTGTGTAAAATTCATGAAAATCTGATACGTCCAGGTAACATGTTGTCAGTTGTAGTTTTTATTATCATGTTCAAGTGTTACAAGTCACAACAATGACCAGGGTACTTTGTCAATTGCCCTGTATGTTTTGACTCTCAGACATTGAGATGAACACCACTAGTTCAAGATTTATAAGAAAAATAAATAAAATACTTTTCTAAGATTAACTATAAAATGTTCTTTGTTTGCTCTCTGCTAAATTGGTAACAGGCTGAAATTTTGTCTACGCTCCTTGCGAAGCGAACAAAGTATTCTTAGAACAAATCTTTCAATAACAGAATATAAATTTTTTTTCCTTTAAGTGGTTTATATTTGTTTTAAATTTATTTGTTACTTTAGTAAAGTAAATAAGTGTTATTTATGATTATGATACATGCAAAAGCTCATTTGGCTTCTACCCAAAATAAGCCCTCACTGTTAGACTTGTTTTATCCTAATATCTTAACTCTGACAATGCCTATGTCTACACTTCTAAATCTTTTCAAGTCTTTTGTACATGGTTTCATATAAGATATAGACAGGTATATTTAATTTATTATATGAATGATATCCTACTAGCACATCCCTATCAGGCCTACCTACAATCAGTGTTGCATGATCTAACAGAGGCATTACAAAATAGAGGCCTACAAATTGCCCCCAAATAAACCCTCTGGTTACTTATTTAGGGCAAGTTCTAGACTCTAAAATGGTGACTCATGTTCCCTTCATTTAAAAGAAAAAAAAGTTCATTTGGTGACTGTAAGTGATTATCCCAAATTGCTAGGAGATATTAACTGGATTAGGACTTATTTAACATTCATTACTGCTGAATTAAAGCCCTTGTTTAATGTCTTACAAGGTAACTCTGACCCAGCTTCCGAAAATAGTTTGACCCCTGAAGCTGGAAGAGCCCTTGATAAAGTAACAGATGCCATATCTAGAGTCATGGAAATAGGATTGATACAACTAAGGTGTGGCTGCTTTTGTGCTTGCCTACTCCTACAGCACCGGACTGGTGTATTTATGCAATCAGGACCCCTAGAATGGATACATCTTCCAGCTACAGACAAAAAGATAGTGGCTGACGACCCTGCTTTAATTGAAGCACTAATTATAAAAGGCAAACAAAGAAGGATAAATTCGTTTGGCTAAAAACCTCCTGAGGTTATAATTTCATAAAATAAAATAACAATTAAATGCTTTGCTGCAGTTTAATGAAGTCTGGCAAGTTGCCTTAAGACATTATGTAAGGCAAGTTTCACATCATTTGCTCTCTCACTCTTCATTTAATTTCATGGCTGATGACCCAGTAATTTTCCAAAAAAAAAAGATATTTTGTTTTAAGCTGTCCTAATAGGTATAGTGATATCTTACTGTGGTTTTGGTTTGTACTTTA